TTTTTTCTCTAATAGTTGTGATTTTATTTGTAAAGAAGCTCATGAAGTCATTGCTGCTGAGATCTAAAGGAATGTTAAGCTGAACAGCACTGTGGCTCTTTGTCAGCCTGGCTACAGTGCTGAAAAGAAACCTGGGGTTGTTCTTATTTTCCTCTATCAGTGATGAATAAAATGCAGTTCTGGCATTACGAAGGCTCTTTCCAGGCTATGAAAAACTCTTCTGACTTAGTGGAGCTCCACCTCCTTTCCATTTTTCATGATGCCTGCTTTAGGGAGCGGAGCTGCGAGCTGTACCACGGGGCTAGCCTCCTCTGTTTCACTGCCTTCTTTTTCAGAGGGGCAACGGTATCAAGTGTATTATGCAGGGAGGCTGCAGTACTATCAAGAAGATTATCGACTTCTGTGGGAGTAAAGTTAAGGTGGCCTCCTTTTTAAACAAAAGGAGCTTTTAAAAAGCTCCTTTTTTTTAATAGGCATTATCCACAGATGCAGGTTCATAATCAATCAGCACACACCTTGGGCTCAGCATTTGAGCTTCCTTTCTTTCCCTGGAAGTCCCCACCACCACTCTGCTGCCTCTCTATCCCTACCTTGACTCCCACGGTGCTGATAATAGGGTATTCCATCATCAGGGAAAAACTTTAGAGCTACTATCAGTGTTTTCGCTGATTAAAATCCCCTTTCTATAGCCAAAAAGCTTGTGATATACAATATGTTGTTACAAATGACATCAGTCAACAGAAAACTTTTTCAGTTCAAGAACAAAAGCAGAAAGCCCAGCAGCGGCTATACTTCGTCAGGCAGATCAGAAAAGCTGGGCTGAACTGTTGCCCTCTCACACAGGCTTATAGAGGACTGGTAGAGAGCATCCTCACTACTGGCATCACAGTCTGGTATGGTAACACCACCCAGGCAGACAGGAAGGCTCTTCAAAGGGTCATAAAGACTGCAGAGAGGATCATTGGGACTGAACTGCCTGCTATGGACACACCATACATGCAGCGCTGTCATAAAAGGGCAGAGAACATAATCAGGTATCCACGCCACCCAGCTCACTCTCTGCTCAGACACAAAAACTGCACCTACAGCCTCAGGCACAGCAGGGCGGACAGTATCATCACACACAGAACAAGACTTTACAACAGCTTTCTCCCTGCTGCAGTAAGACTGATAGGAAATACGAAAATGTGAGAATATATGTGCAATAACCCCTCACTACCTCACCAAGCATGATGCCATATCCAACTCTGCCATGTGAATTACTAAGTGCAATGTTTGAAGTTCACTGTGGGAAATACTATTACCCTATTTTTGTGTATTGTGTTTTAATACTTTGTCGCCTTTATGTAACTTTTATTTTAAGACTAAGTGTTCTTTCTGGCTTTTGACTCTTTACCTGACTCCAAAAGAGAGCTGCACAAAAATTCAAGACTGCCTGTTTATGCATAAATGACAAATAAAAATCTTGAATCTTGAAATTTGGCCCCTCTCCAGGACCCAAACTTGCAAAAATATATAAAAAATTGCTACTATGTCTGCATTTGTAAATTAGTGATTAGCATTGTAATACTTGAGACTGGTCTCGAGAACACTTTTTAAAGATATTGGTCTCATCTTAACCACATCTTTACTCAGTCTCATCTCTGTCTCAGACAAAGAGGAATCAAGACCAGCCAAGATCACTGGAAAACCTGTAGTTCCCTTCCCAACTAATCATGAGCCAGAAACTATGCTCAATCCTCTCGACCACAGCAAACAACAACAGGCACAAATCATAACACCAGAGAAGACAAGCATGACAGCACCATCAGGAGTTA